CCTCCCGAGTAGCTGGGATTACAGGCATGTGCCACCATGCCCAGTTAATTTTTGTATTTTTAGTAAAGATGGGGCCAGGCGAGTCTCAAACTCCTGACCTCTAGTGATCTGCCCACCTTGGCCTCCCAAAGTTCTGGGATTACCGGCATAAGCCACTGTGCCTGGCAGGGCCAGAACAGCCCTCATGGGCCATGCTGTGTTTTCTTCCTCTACATGATTGCTCTGTTGTCCAAGGACTGCACTGCCCACTGCTACATGAAAGAGGCCAAATGACAGTTTCTTCTGGTAGGAAAAGTCATGGATTTGAATTGGTTTTTTAAAGTCACTGAACCTGGCTGCTCTTGGTCAGTGCAGGTGGAATTGGGCCTCTCTCTGTGTGCTAGACTCTAGGATCTTCAGGAGGGAATTGCTTCATTATGCCAGCTAGTCTCATATCAGACCCTGATTTAGGGGGATTAGAGGCTCATTCTTTTGTAAAGAGAATAGTGCTTGAGACCCTGTGGCCTTGAGTCAGGCAGACCTGGGTTCAAATCACAGCTCTGCCACTTCTTTTATTTTTTATTTTTGGCATGGGGTTTTGCTTTGTTGCCCAGGTTGGAGTGCAGTGGCATGATCTTGGCTCACTGCAAGCTCCACCTCCCGGGTTCACACCATTCTCCTGCCTCAGCCTCCCAAGTAGCTGGGACTACAGTCGCCCGCCACCACGCCCAGCTAATTTGCATTTTTAGTAGAGATGGGCTTTCACCATGTTAGCCAGGATGATCTCCATCTCCTGACCTCATGATCTGCCCACCTCGGCCTCCCAAAGTGCTGGGATTACAGGCGTGAGCCACCGTGCCCGGCCCCAGCTTTGCTACTTCTTAACCATGTAGTCTGGGACAGATCTCTTAACTCAAGACTCCGTTCTTAAATGCTGTAACATGAATCTCCTTTGTGGGGGTGTAGTGAGACTTTGAACAGCTAGAGAATTGCTGCTTAGGCCTGGATACTCGACATGTGGTTTGTAGCGCAGCAGCATCAGCATCACTTGAGAATTTATTAGAAATGCAAATTCTTAGGACTTAGCCCAGATTTTCTGAGCCAAAATCATTTAACAAGATTCTGATATGATTTGTGGGCACATTAATGTCTGAAAAGCACTATTCTCAGGGATCTTCCAGAATGAATTTCAATGTTGGACTCCATCATATAGATCCATATTTAAAGATTTCTGGCGACAAAAGAATTCTCAGGTGTCCTACCTTAGCTTAAGGTTGGCAAACTCCTATTTATCCTTCAAAACCTTGCTCAATATTTTCCCCTTGGTCATACCTTGCCTGATTACTGAGGTAGTCAATCATTCTCTTCTCCTCACTACTTCATCACATACAGACATCTAATACTGCATTTATCACATTGCCTGATGAATGCCTTGTACAGGTGAGTCTCATCTCATAGGCTGTGAATTTCTGTGAATAGCAGCCCAGCAGTGAGGATGATGATGATGGCAATAGCTGAGATGAAATACATCAGCTCACCTAAGGGGTCTGACAACAGGACTTGAGAGCAGAGTTGCGACGTGCTCACCCTGGACCCCCATGTACCCAGATCTGCTTGGCCCAATGAGGTCTTCAGAAAAGTTTGTTGAGCTGAATTGATAGAAAAATGTCTCCCTCTTCCTTGATTCTCTCACAGCCATGAAGGAGAAGTGTAGTGAAGGTTGTTGACATGCTTTATTTTTTCTCAGAAGCTCATGATCTGGGTCCCAGCTTAGCTGAATGTTTCTTCATTTGCTGAGAGGAACATTCCTCCCCCGCTGGCTTTGAAGTATTTCTGAGGGGCGGCTGCCAAGTTTCATCGCCTGCCCTGGCAATGTGAGAACTTTCCTCATCATGTTCTGATGTGCAATGCATGCTGTCCACTGTCTTCCCCACTTTTCCTTTCTAGAAAACCAGATTGTAGTCTGGGCTGCTCACCCCATCAAGAAAGCCATGTAGGGCCAGGCATCATGGCTCACGCCTATAATCCCAGTACTTTGGGAGGCCGAGGTGGGCAGATCAACCTGAGGTCAGGAATTTGAGACCACCCTGGCCAACATGGTGAAACCTTGTCTCTACCGCACATATAAAAATTAGCTGGGCATGGTGGCAGGTGCCTGTAATCCCAGCTACTTAGGAGCCTGAGGCAGGAGAATTGCTTGAACCTGGGAGGCAGAGGTTGCAGTGCGCCGAGATCACGCCACTGCACTCCAGCCTGGGCGACAAAGTGAGACTTCGTCTGAAAAAAGAAAGCCATGTTAAGGTGAAACCAGTTTCAATGCAGGTAAACAACTGCTTTACATTTTCATGGAAAACTGAGGCAAGTACAAAAATTTGGTGTGTTTCCTTCAACCCTCAAAGATATGGTTTTTTTTTTTTTCTTTTTAAAAATCCCTTGCTGTTTTTATTTTCTTTTTTGTCCTTTGCAGGAGTGGCGCCATAGAGCATGTCAGGCATTGACTAGAATCCCTGTTCCAGTTTAGGGGCCACATCTCCCCTTGGGGTTTTGGATCTGCTAAGAGTTGAGATAGAAGAGCAGGCAAATATCCACAGGGCTTTCTGGAGTAGAGAATTCGTGTTTTCACATAAACTATTAATTTATCCTTCTTATTTTTATTCATCAACTGCTATGTAATTCTTTGAATATTTATTAAACCATTACTAGGTATCTGGCAAATCTAGGGTTGTTGAATAAAAGATGACAGACACTGCTGGGCACGGTGGCTCATGCCTGTAATCCTAGCACTTTGGGAGGCTGAGGCGGGTGGATTGCCTGAGCTTAGGAGTTCGAGACCAGCCTGGGCAACACGGTGAAACCCCGTCTCTACTAAAATACAAAAAAAGTAGCTGGGTGTGGCAGCGTATGCCTGTAATCCCAGCTACTTAGAAGGCTGAGGCAGGAGAATCGCTTGAACCCTGGAGGTGGAGGTTGCAGTGAGCTGAGATCACACCATTGTACTTCAGCCTGGGCAAAAAAGCGAGACTCCGTTTCAAAATAAAAAAAAAAAAAAATGTCAGACACAGACCCTCCTCTTCCAGAAAACTCGATGCATGCAAAGCAGGGATCTGATACTCGAGCTGCATCAGAATCCTCTGAAGAGCTTGTAACACACAGATTCCAAGAGCCCCACTCCGCTCCGGGAGTCTCTAATTCAGTATGTCTGGGGTGGGGCTCCCAGGTGCTGCTGCTGGCCCCGGACCCGCTTAGAGAACCACTAGTGTAAACTATCCCGAGACAATGATAAGCGAGTTCATCTGGCTTAGGGAAGAGGTGTAACTCAGGAGGGAGGAACCCGGCCTGCCTGAGAGGTCAATTGAAGAAACTCCACGTGGGGAGGGATGCCTCAGTGGACGCTTCTAACCCGACCGGAAATTCACAGGAGGACAGGGATGAAGTGGTTTTTGGCAGAGAGAACAGCTACGCCATGGCTCAGAGGCAGAAAACCACATGGCTGTTGTTTTGCATTTAGATCTAGCTGTCTAAGAGAGGAAACCAAATAAATGATTTAAATGAAGGCTAAGTTCTCTTTCATAGAGAAGTCCAAAAGCAAACAATTCAGGGCTGCTACAGGAGCATTTTTTTTTCTCTCTCTCGCTCTGCTTTTCCATTCTAGGCATATGACTTCTATCCTCAAAGTCACAAGATGGCTGCTGGAGTTCCAGTCAGGATGTCTGTACGTTAGCCCCCTTCTCCTTTATCCATGGTTTCACTTGCCACAACTTTAGTCAACTGCAGTCCAAAAATATTAAATGGAAAATTCCAGAAATAAACAATTCATAAGTTTTAAATGGTGCACTCTTCCGAGTGGCATGATGAAATCCCATGCCATCCCACTCCATCCCAATGCCGTATACACTCTCTGTCTGTTAGTCACTTAGTGGTCTTGGTTATCAGATCACCTACTGTGGTATAATTCTTAAAAATGCAAGAGTAGTGATAGTGACATATTGTTATAATTGTTCTATTTTGTTATTAGTTATTGTTAATTTCTTACTGTGACTAATTTATGAATTAAAACTTTTTTCTTTTTTTTTTTTTCAGACGGAGTCTCGCCCTGTCACCCAGACTGGAGTGCAGTGGCGTGATCTCGGCTCACTGCAAGCTCCGCCTCCTGGGTTCACACTGTTCTCCTGCCTCAGCCTCCCAAGTAGCTGGGACTACAGGCACCCACCACCACGCTCGGCTAATTTTTTGTATTTTTAGTAGAGATGGGCTTTCACCATGTTAGCCAGGATGGTCTCGATCTCCTGACCCCGTGATCCGCCCGTCTTGGCCTCCCTAAGTGCTAGGATTACAGGTGTTAGCCACCGTACCTGGCCAGGAATTCAACTTTAAAAACAAAAACAAAAACAAAGAAACTATGGAGTTTTGCTCTGTTGCCCAGGCTGGAGTGCTGTGGTGTAATCTCGGCTCACTGCAATCTCTGCCTCCTGGGTTCAAGCAATTCCCCTGTCTCAGCCTCCCAAGTAGCTGGGATTACAGGCGCACGCCACCACACCCTGCTAATTTTTGTATTCTTAGTAGAGATGGGGTTTCACCATGTTGGCCAGGCTGGTCTCGAACTCCTGACCTCAGATGATCCACCCGCCTCGGCCTTCCAAAGTGCCAGGATTAGAGGTGAGAACCACTGTGCCCAGCCTTGAAATTAAACTATCATAGGTGTCTAGGTATAGGAAAAAATATGTATATATAGGGTTCAGTTCTATCCTCAGTTTCAGGCATCCATTGGGGGTCTTGGAACACATCCCCCCTTGAATAAGGGGTCTATAGTATTTCAGGCAGAGTGAAGGGGAAGGGCAAGGGGTAGAGGGTCTTTCTTCCAGCTGAATCAGTCCCCTTGAAAAAGACTTCACAGAAACCTCACCCTGGGACTTTTGTCTGGATTCAAGAGAGGCAGCAAAATGCAGTCTTTTAGCTGCGCATGTTGCAGCCCTGAATAGAGCCCAAGGTCTGTTAATTAAGGAAGAAGCAGGGAATGGACATTGGGTAGACTGTTGTGGTGTGTTTGGAGGAACGTCAAGTTCTTAGTGTTGCCAGAGCCTGAGGTGCCAGAGGGCATGCGGTGGGAGGAACGTGGTGCAGCACGCAGCCACTCAGGAAAGGGGAGGCACAGCCAAGACGGGGGCAGGATGGAAAGTCCATGGATGCTGCAGGACTTAGACCTAGCCTTAAATGTGAATCCATCCCTGGAGTTGGAGTGTCAGGGTATCTCTTTTCTCTTTTGGCTCCTTTCCTTCTTCCATTTTTTTTCCTTCCCTCCTTCTCCACTTTATTCTTCCCCTTCCTTCCCATTCCACTTCTCTCTTCGCAAGAGCTGCAGATTTGGGTTCCAGTCTGAGATGAGTTGGAAGGTGGGGAGGAGCCCTGCTCTCAGGTAAGGAGGGACTCGAGGGCATACTAGGGAGTACTGGGGGGAAGTTTCCATCAGTAGAAAAAGCCTGGGAGCCAGGCTAGAGATAGCCACTCAGAAGAGGTAGGGAAGAAAGAGACATCATCTGGGCAGTAAAGTAACATGATAAATGCAGACTTAAGAAAAATGAGTCTGTTGGAGGCCAGGCACAGTGGCTCAAACCTGTAATCCCAGAACTTTTGAAGGCCAAGGTGGGTGGATCATGAGGTCAAGAGATCAAGACCATCCCGGTCAACATGGTGAAACCCCGTCTTTACTAAAAATACAAAAAATTAGGCCAGGTGCAGTGGCTCATGCCTATAATCCCAGCACTTTGGGAGGCCAGGGTGGGTGGATCACCTGAGGTCAGGAGTTCAAGACCAGCCTCAACATGGAGAAACCCCGTCTCTACTAAAAATACAAAATTAGCCAGGCGTGGTGGTGCATGCCTCTAATCCCAGCTACTGGGGAGGCTGAGGCAGAAGAATTGCTTGAACCTGGGAGGTGGAGGTTGTGGTGAGCCGAGATTGCGCCATTGCACTACAGCCTCGGCAACAAGAGCGAAACTCTGTCTCCAAAATAAATAAATAAATAAATAAATAAATAAATAAATAAATAAAAAATAAAAATACAAAGAATTAGCCAGGCATGGTGGCAGGTGCCTGTAGTCCCAGCTACTCGGGAGGCTGAGGCAGGAGAATTGCTTGAATTTGGGAGGCGGAGGTTGCAGTGAGCCGAGATCACGCCGCTACACTACAGCCTGGCGACAGAGTGAGACTCTGTCTCAAAAAAAAAAAATAAATAAAATGAGTCTATTGGGAATAATGCCTTCTCTAAACTGCATTTAAATTTTACACTCTTGGCTCAGGAGGAAGAAACCTTCATATGAAATCTGGACTTTGATCCTAGTGTCTTTCACTATCCTCCACATGAAATCCTGTAGGAGTCCTTTCTTAATGTAGGAACTTGGGAAGAGCTGCTTTCCTTTGAATTTGTAGCCTTCTTCTTCTCCATTAATGAAATTTACACAATCCATCTGACTTCCTTTGTGCCATGGCTCCCAGGAAACATTGGGGTAAATGATTGGATTACTGTGGTTCTCTTTTCTTTGGTTCTCATTTTCTATGTCTATTGGTATTTTAATTGCCTCATTGGATGTATTTTTGTATGTGAAACATGACAAGAAACACAGGTATGTTAACTAGGCTGGAAGAGATTAATGTGTGGCACAGTTGCTAGGTGCAGGGGAGTCCTGGCAGGGTGGAGAGTTAGCAGTCGTTGTGGCCCAGTTGGGAGGCGATGTGATTGTGCTGGGAGGGAAGTTTAGATGTGTCCAAGGGAAGTTGCAGAGAGCCCATAGCATGATATCTGACCATGTCAGTTTCACAAGGGGGACAGCTGCAGGTGGCTGACACATCCAGACGTGTATGCCAACTGGGGAGGAAATTTGCTAGATGGTTTTCATTTGGGTTTTATTCTATTCCTTGGTGTTGAACCTTGGGCTTTCCTGAAAGACATACTTTGGTAATATTTCCTGTCTCAACTCAGGACCAGGGTTGGAGATCAAAGGCACCCATGCTACTCTATTTTCTACAGTCTTTTTATTTCTGCCACTGGTCTTATGTACCTACCAAGTACATTCTTCAAAAACAGACCTACTTGCATTGTAAACTAATCTAAAAATTGCTATGATGGGCAGATATTGGCCATGGTGTCACCCTTTAGGTGACATATTAACCTATTAAGAGGGCTTGGTGGGGGCAATGTTTTGGTTGTAAAAAGTGACTTAAATAATGGAGATTTTGATACCATTCAAGTGTTCTGTGAGGGTGATGGATATATGTAAAAGGAGGGTTTTGGTTGTGTGTAAGTTTTATGGCCCCAGGACTCTCTCGCCTTGTTGCCCACTCACACTGTGACTGATTAACTCCCCATGGCCAACCCCAGCCTATCTCTCCTGCCTGACTCCATCCCCCACTGATCTGCTCATTAACTAACCAATCAATCAATCAGCCATGCAGTCGCTTCAGTGCTCCTTTGTTTCAGCTTTTCTATTTCAAGCTCAATTTTCAGTGATAAAAAATAAAAAGGAAATATAATTTTATGCCTGTATGACTCAGATATTTAGTTGCTTCTAGTTCTGGGCTGTTTCCATTGTTATTCTGGCCATTCATTTATTCTTTCACTCCTCATAATCATTCATTTCTTATACATTTATTCAACACAACTTGATTGAGCATCTCCTAGGTGCCAGACTCTGGTGCTGATGGTGGAGAAAATAAACAATTTCTGTCTTCTTGAAGCTCCCATTCCAGTCTAGAGTTTCTCAACAGACAGAGCTACTAGCATTTTTGTGCAAAAATTATTTGTGGCCTGGGATGGTCCATACATTACAGGGTATTTAGTACCACTGGTTCCACCCTCTAAATCCCAACAGCATTCCCTCTTTCCATTGCAACAACAACAAAAAATACCCCCACGCATTTGTAAACTCAGTGGCAAGCCTGTTGTTTAGATAAAGTGTGGTGGATTCTGTGCATTGATTCTTCTCATTTTCTTCCCCCTAGTTACTGAGGTTGGAAAACTACAAACTATGTTTCCCTTTCATCTAAGGTGTATTAGTTTGGTTGGCTGCATAACATGATACCACAGACTAGATGGCTTAAAAAACAGGTAGTTATTGTCTCACAGTTCTGGAGGCTGGAAGTCCAAAATCCAGGTGTTGGCAGGTTTGGTTTCTCCTGAGGGCTCTCTCTTTGGCTCGCAGATGGCCACCTCCTCCCTGTGTCTTTATGCAGTTTTTCCTCTCTGTGTATGTGCATTCCCAGCATCTTTTCCTCTTCTTATAAGGACACGAGTCATATTGGCTCCCTCCACCCCTTATGAGTTTGTTTAACCCAAATTACTCCCTTAAACATCCTGTCTCCAAATACAGTCTTGTTGGGGGTTAGGGCTATCACAGAGATCTGAATTTAGGAAAAACACAATTCAGTCCATAACAGATGGTGAAGCATGTGACCTAGCTTGGCCCAGCACATACCTCTGCTGGAGATCCAGATGCAGAAGTGAGCAAGGTGAGGTGCTAATCTTATGCAGGTGTTCTGACAAGCATGGTGGCAGGGGTAATTGGTTTCTAGGGCTGCTGTGGGTTTTTAGCATCCAACCTGGTATCATAGGGCCCAGTGATGGGTAGCAGAAGCCATCAGTGTTCCCTGCAGCAGGCCTGTGGTGTGGATAGGCATTTCTCCTGGCTCTGTTATTCCTGCTTGCATCACATCTGATCTCATTTTCTGTTTCTCCTGAAGACTGCATGCACTATTCAGTACTGTTTAATAAACCATCTTTTTGCTTAAAATAACTAGAGTGGATTCTGTTGTCTGCAACACGGAACTCTGATACAGAAAGAAGATCCCCAAATATTTCATTATAATTTAATGTGGTAAATTCCGGGTAGAGTTATGCACAGGATTTTATGGAACCTCAGAAAAGAATAACCCATAGTCATTTACATTCATCTCCTAACTCTTGGCACTGCCTCCCACCATTTGAGTGTTGCTGCTTGTTCAGAAGCTTCTTTGCTAGATGGATCTAGTAATCCATTTATCTAACAATGACTCTGTAATTTAGTAACTAGTAACTAATCAGCTAATCAACTGGTAACTCCCTTTATTTGTACCTGAGAGGCTGATCCCATTATTGTGGTTGGAGTTTTAGGACAATGGGTATACAGTCTTAACTCTGTGTTTCTCTAGCTGTCTCATCTCCAGCCAGTCACTTCTGCTCCATCAGCCACATTTTCTTCCAGTAAAATAAGAATCAAGCAGTCCCAGAGGCCCCTCTCAGCATTGCCGTGCTACACAACATAGTGATTCTTCAGTGGAAACCAAAACACGTTTATTTGCTTGTGTGAACTCCTGCAGAATGTGCCAAAAGGCAGAGATGGATGTGAAGTTGCCATTTGAGAAACACAGGTGTCTGGAGACTGCCCTGTCTTCATGGCAAGGGAAGATGGTGGGAGGAGAAGCTACAACCAAAAAGGCTTTTTCAAAATGTGTTCATCAGTGTGCTAATCTCACAAGATTCTTCTGCAGAGGTGATTCATGGGAAATGCTGCATACTCTATTGCTTTCTGGACGTTTATAGTAAACTTAGCAGGTTGAAGGCTTAGAGGAGGCCTCCAGGAAGGAAACCTGTTTATTAAACCTCTTCTCAGATGTATTTGACCACTCGACCCTTTGTTTTCCACACAGCATCTACTAACATCCTCAGTAACGCCACTTTGGGGAAATACTGAACTAAATTAGTCTCAAAGTCTTCCAAAATAAGCACAGACCTTCAAAGGTCCCATTTGGAATGGTGAGTCCTGCCTACAACTTCCCTGACTTCTGACTAACCCAGGGAGCTCTCAGAGTTCTCAGCAGCAGGAGGCAAGGCCAGAAATCCCTATGAGTGGAGGCCACATGGAATTGTTGCTGTATCAGTGGTGAGTCACAGGGGTCCACACTGGGGACATGAGTATTACACATGAGTCATGGGCATATGGAAGCCTTATTCAACTCTACCTTCCTTTGGTCCCTAATCCTTTGTAATGCCCGGGTTTCGTGATGTCACTTCAAGGGAATTAAGCTTGGAAAGCAAAAATGATGTAATTAATTTAATTCGGCTTCAATTAAAGCCTTCCGCTAGCATGACATCTGACCATGTCAGTTTCACAAGGGGGACAGCAGCAGGTGGCTAGGCACGTCCAGACCTGTGGGTATGCCAAGTGGGGAGGAAATTTGCTAGATGGGTTTCACTTGGGCTTTATTCCAGTCCTTGATGTTGAACACTCAGGGCTTCCCTGAATGACATACTTTGTCAACATTTCCTGGCTCAGCTATTAACTGAGGACCAGGATGGAGACATTAGACAAACAGACTAGGCCATTTTCTTGTCTTCTGAATCCCACTACTGGTTCTTTGGTTTTACCTAGAGCTACTCTCTTC